TGTCCGTGGAAGTACTCAGACAAAGTCGGGGTGATCCCCCCGGAAAACACAGGGATGAGCTCCGTGTCCGTGGAAGTACTCAGACAAAGTCTGGGTGATCCCCTAGTTGTTGGAAGGGCAGTGTGGGAGTTTGTGGAGGATTGGGCTAAGTGGCGATAAACATCCCTTCTGACTAAGATTTCCAGTGGCAAAGGGCCTCTGGCCACCTCCATATCGAGGACACTGTGCCCTGTGCACCGTTATTGATCATTCTCTCACTGTTGAAGGAAATCCATTTTGTCATCATTACAGCTCTGCCTGCTGCCATGAAAATGCCAGGCTTCCCAGCCACAGGTAAATGTCCCAGCAAGAGGCAGGGCAACAGTGCAAAGACAGACAGAAACCAGAGGGCCAGAGAACCGCCTCCCCCAGGCAGAGCCTGCCCCTGGCTGGCCTCGGTGGTCTTTCTCCCGCCCCGCTTGCCCACCCCACTCCACCCCACTCACCGTACACCCAGCTGATGCAGACCACTTCAAACACTGAGAGGAACAGCAGGCATATGCCACTGGAAGCATAGTAGTCAAACAGCTGGAAGATGTACATCCCGCCCTGTGGGGAGAGCGTGGAGCTGGGGCATGGCCAGTGCAGGGATGGGACACATGCCACCCATCGGTGAGATGGGAAATGCCCCTGTGGGGCGCCCTCCTGCCCAGCCCGTGGGATGCCATTCCTTGCCTCTAAAAGGAGTTTGCCCTGCCTGCCCCGCCTTCAGGCCTCCCAATCAACATCAGGACAATAGCCTCTGACATCTGCAAGGGCACTGGGAGACTGTGGTGGACGCACATCATTTCGTCTGCCCAGCATCACTGCTTCTGGAAAGTGACACCCCCTCATTCTGTGTTCCTTTTAGGGTGGGGTGTCCCTCTCTCCCCACCCCAGGCTTGAATAAGAGTCACAGCCTGGACACTTGCCACACTCTCAGGAAAGGGCCTCTCCTTCCCCCTGGGTTGGCTGACACTGACAGGTAAGCCTGAAGCCCAGCATCCGTCCCTAACGCCACCGGAGGAAAACCTGCCTCTGAGTG